ATTTTTACTCAAAAACTGACTAACAGGGCACCTGGATGGCTTCATGGTTGGGCATCTGCCTTCAGCTCAGGTTGTGATCCTAGGGTCCTGGGATCGAGTCCTGCATTGGGCTTCCCACAGGGAAGCCTGCTTCTCCCTCTGTCTCTGCCTCTTGCTCAGTGTCTCTCATGAATGAATAAATAAAATCTTAAAAAACAAAAACAAAAAACCGACTAACAGCAAAGTCTGGGGAATAGTAACAGCTAGCAGAAATCAGGAATTATAAAATTATGGAGTGGCTCATTTAGTTTTTTTCTGATATTTACACATAAGTGGCTCCTTGGCACCTGATTAACTAGTTTACTGAACTCTACTTGGTAAGGTACCATTCTGGGGTTCACCATGTTTAATGGCAGTAAAACTGAGCTCACTCCACACTTCCAAGCAAAAAATCCACACATTTAAGGACTGCAATTTAAAAAGTTTGCTAGGCCTTTTATCTGCTTGTCAAAATTTCCATATATAAATTTGTCAGTAACATATATGTACACAATTTCTTTCTGTGCAATAATATCCAACTTTTTATTCAGTACCATGCCAGACCTTTGAGGAGCTATTAAAGAAATAAAAACAGAAGTCTCCCAAATGGAATATAAAATCTCACTATGAAAGCAAGATCTATACATACAAAGCTCAATAAAACAAAACAGTATCAAAACTTCGGATATAAGAAATATAACCTATCATAGGACAATATTTCTTAGCCTTTGTAGGGGGTCCTAGGCCCCTCTGAATTTGACGAAAGCTAAAGAGGTTGGGCCATACCACCAAGAAGCTGGACTTTATCCCCAGGGTCACTAGGCGGGAGCCACAGAAGGCTCCAAGTAGGAGGAGAGATAAGGCCAATCTCCTGGGTAACCTTCAGGGTGGGCTGGGAAGGATGAGAGGCCAGGTTAGGGGTATGCAACCATAAATGTCTCAGGATGCAAAGCCAGAAGCATTGGCTTCGAGCAAATACTGTGGCAGAACATTGTATCAACTTCTTATAGACCCAGGGTATGGGAAACAGAAGGAATGTTAAGAGATTTAAGGCAGTGCATATTTGCATGACTGTGGTGGTAGTTTTCATTTTAACAAAGTGACAAAAACAACTAGCCCGTACACAGCAGGGTTTACGTAAGTACTTGTTGAAAAACCCAAAACTGGAGTTGGAGGTGAGGCAAACCCCATTTAAAATGGAGGTATGCAAACCCCATTTAAAATAAATAAGCACAGGAGCACCTGTGTGGCTCAGCCAGTTAAGTGTCTGACTTGATTTCAGCTCAGCTCATGATCTCAGGGTCTTGAGATCAAGCCCTGTATCTGGCTCTGCACAGTGCATGTGGGACCTGCTTAAGATTCTCTTTCTTTTGCTCTGGCCCTCACCCTTACTCTTGTTCTGCCCTGCCCCCCCAAAGCACAAAAGTCACCCATGCTTGTATGGTATACTGACATAAAAAGATCTTTAGATGTCACAAACACACAATCATAAAGATACTTGGTCTACCATCCTTTTTTTTTTTTAAAGGTTCTATTTTTAAGTAATCTCTACAGCCAACATGGGAACTTAAAACCCCAAGATCAAGAATCTCATGCTATACTGACTTGAGCCAGCCAGGGGCCCCATACCATTCTATTTTTTAAATGTTCATCAGAGCAATGGCTAAATTATCTCCCCCCACACACAAAAAAAATTAAGAGTACACTCTAGAGAAAATTCTATAATCTGTGCACAGAGGTTTAAGAACACGACCTGGGACCAAGTCCTCACTCCACAGCTTCCTAGCAATCCAGCTGTGTGACTATAGCAGTTACCTCGAGCCTCAACCAATGGGGACACCTTCATTCCTGTCTCTATGGGCGGCAAGAAGAATCGATGAGATAAAACCTGTAAAGTGCTGTAATATCTGGCAGAGTAATTTTTCTATCGAATCACTTTCATTAGCACATTGTATCATTCATCATAAAACGAAGACCAAAACCCTCACTTGATCCCATACCCTTTTCTGCTACCGTCTCATTTCTTGGTCTCTTCTTACTTAGCAGAAAAACCTCAAAAGTGTTGTCTAGACTCCTTGTCTGCCATTCCTCACCTTACTTGCACCTACTCCAGTCAGCCTTTGCTGTCTAGCCACTCACCAAAACCGCTCTGGTCAGGGGCACCAGAGGCACCCTCTAGCCAAATCCTGGGCAGAATTTCAGCCCCTAACCCCCGTTCCTAGAGCTCCAGCAGCAACTCTAGGGGCTTCCCTGAGCCTCAGATTCTCTTCCTACCTCACTGGCTTCTAGGTCTCACCTCCCTAACCTCCAAATACTGACTGCCAAGAGATTTTACCCAGACCAAGGAGGCTGGTGGTGACTTTACAATTTACATTTCCAATTAACTGACCCCCTGAAATCTCAGTTTAGATGCCTACGAGGCCTCTCCAACTTAAAACACTTCAAAATAGAACTCCCTTGTACTCCTCAATAGAAACAAAACAAAACAAAACAAAAACAGCCCCCCCTTCCCCCCAAAAAACCCAAAACCACCTACTCCTCAAACTCCATATATGGCACAAACATTTACCAGATTGCTCTGGCCGAACATCTTGGAGTCAAGATGAGAAAGCTTTCCTTTACATCCCATACCCAATCCATTTCCAAATATATTCTAAATATGGTCATTTTTGCCTTGTCCACTGTGATCGCTATAGTCTGTGGCCCCTTCAGCATCCTAATTGGTTGCTAAACCTACTGACCTCTAGTCACCACAGTGAGTTTTTACAAGTTCGCTCCAGTCACTTACTCAGCCCTCCACCCACCTAGCACTCACCAGAACGCCTTAGCCTGCCTCCAGAGCACCACCTGTATCCCCAGCATTTCCCACCACCCTCTCCCGTGCTCTGTGTCCTTCAGCCACACCACCTTTCTCTCTATTCCTGAAAGAACTGGCACCCTCTCTCTTTGCCTCACCCCGGGGATTCTCTGATTGGCTGGTGGGCTGGCTCTCTTCCTCACTAAGTTTGAATTAATTTCCCATTCCCTTATCTTGCTTTGTTTTTCTTCATAGCACTGGTTACCACTTGACATTTTAAATATATTCATTTCTCCTTCATTAGTTGTTTACTCTCTCCCACCACCTGAATATAAATAAGCTCCATGAAAGTAAAACTTCATCTTTTTGTTCACTGCCAAATCTTCAACCCCTCAAAGAGTGCTGTGTCAGAGTATGTGCTCAAATGCTTGTTGACTGAATGAATGGGTGGCTGGGTGTTAGCGAGGGATCTTCTTTCAGAAAATATAGCATGGAAACATTCATCGCACTATTAAAAGAAAGTCTTAATATTAGAAAGAGTATCAAAGAGGCTTAGTATGGATTTTAAGTAGCGGAAGGTAAGTTATACACTGAGTTCTGAAAGATCTTGAGAAGTAGAAATCTTAATTTTGAAGCCAGGCAGTTTACAGAGGTCTTCTCAGAGCACTCCTCACTCATATCCCTTTACCCTCCTCACACAATGTCTGTGCTGGACCTTTTCTTTTTTCTTAAAATTTTATTTTCTTTCCTTTTTATGGTCTGACTCACTCCCAGAGCTTCTCGAGTTAGAGCTGTGACTCATTCAATCTTGCCTCCCCAGAATATGGTATGTTACCTGGCATACAATGGTACTCAATAAATGTTTCCTGATTGAAGAAACAGCAGTAGCTCTTCCTTTCCTACCATAAACTCTAACATGGTCTACTGTGGCCAAAAAAACTGAACACTGATACCATGATACCATGTAACTGAGATACCTAATGTCTTTTATTTTGAGATAATTAAAAATGAATAACAAGTTTTATTTTTTAAATCAACTATGACAGAGACTTTTAGGGAAACCTACATTTTTTTTTTAATGAGGAAAAACTGTTTTTTGTTTTTGTTTTTTTTTTTTACCTAAATCACATAAGCCAAAGAATTCTTCACTACAAAATGAACTGTTTCATAAAATATACATAAAAGCATGTTACTCATATTTTACACCCTTTAGAAACTGTACACAAAGTTAATACATCAGTATTTTCTACAAAGTAAGCACATTTAACTCCAAATGGCCTGACTACACCCTAGTGCTAGAACATCCGGGGACAAATCCAAATATTGGTGGAGTTCAGGGGTGCCTGGCTGATTCAGTAGGTGGAGTGTGTGAGACTCTTGATCTCGGGGTTGTAGAGTTAAGCCCTAGGGTGGGTGTAGAGATTACATAAAAATGAAATATTTAAAAAAATATATAGACTTGTGGAGTTTCAGAGATCTTATAGATCTTGTATCAGTCACAAGTTAGGACTTTATACCATTCTGAATAGAGAGTATAGGTTTAAAATCATGATACCTTAATTTTAGCAAAAGATTTCAGTGAATATATTTAAAAATTAAATCCACACATGCCAAAGAACAAAAAGCATCACAGATCAGAAAAACTTAATACTCCAATGTACGTTTAATTCCTATGGCACTTTAATCCCCTGAATCAACCTCAATTTTAAGATTCCTAATATTTGTGTGTGAATCTGACACCAAAAGGCAGCTGGAAAAGCAGCTTCAAGTAACAGACAATACAGAGGATGTAAAAGTGAACTCTTGTTAAGCTTAGTAAGCTATTAAAAAAGTTAACAATGAAAATGTTAAGATAACTTCACCAAGGTGCTAAAATACCACAGTAGTCCAAGATTTCTTGAAAGAAAATATTTGTCCTGTTACTTCAGAATTCCTTCCAGAAGGATTTTTCCTGGATCTGTGTCAGTATCAAAAGTCAGCCAGTTATTCTCCTGGCTAAATATAAACTGAAAAGTCAGCAGCTGCAGGATATTACAAAGAAAATACAACAACCAGGTTGAAAAAGCATGAATATTTGATAGGGTATTACACCATGTCATAGTAAAACATTTAATGAAGTACTCTGAAACACAGCAACATATTAAAGTAGTTGTGGTACAAAATGGATGGGAAGCCCTTTAAACACCTTTTGGGAAAGTCACCACCACAAAGCAGCCGCTACTGTAGCACGCCAATCCTGGAAAACTCCCGCCTGGCAGGACCTCATAGGTTTTCTCCTAAAAAGAAAGTTGCCAGTTAAAACTGGTTTGGTTGCCCATTTAAGGAAGACAGTGAACTAAACTAGGAGTCTGGTGCTGCTCCCGTTTTGGAAAATACGGAGGCCTGGAAAGTGATGTACCAGCTTCAATGTTCCTGAAAAGTAGGTATAAAGTCAGGGGCAGGTAACTTTTATTCCTGAGCAGTGGTGAGCACAGTCTGGCTCCTATTTAGTCTCTGCCCAGGGGAGCAGAATCTTTCTCTCCTCTACAGCAATTGTCCTCCAAGGATGGTCCCCAGACCTGCAGCCTACACATCACTTGGGAACTAATTAGAAACGTAAATTCGCAGTCCCCATTCCAGAACACCACAACACACTACAGAGGTACTATATCTGGAACCCTAAGGGTGGAGCCCTGCAACTGAACAAGTAATCCTGGTGATCTGGACGCTAGTTTAAGAGCTGCTGATCTAGGGGAAGAAACGGTGGCAATCTGTCTTTACAGTCCAGACAATGGGACAACAAACAGCTGGTGATAAAATGCGAGGCATTGGGTTTCTCTGACACTAGGGTGACTAAGGACCAGATTTTCTCTGTCTGGGGTGGAGACAAAAAATAAGATGTGGGAAGCGTATCTGGACAGTTACGGGAGAGGACCAAGTTAAGCCTATGCTAATGTACCCCTAGAAATACCAACTTATCAGGATAAGAGCTTTCCTTTTTTGAAAGGCTGAAGAGTCACTTTTGCTTCTGCCTCATCAGATACATTGTTTCTTCAAATACATCAAATTTACATATGTGGCTATATCAAGGTGAGACCTTGGATTAATTCACCGCAACAGTCAATACATACTGAGCACCTACTATGCCAGAGCCTATGCTGGGTACCACAACATAGTAGTTCAGAACAGTTTAGAATCCTACCCTAGTGGAAAAGCACAGAAAACAAGCAAGAATGCAAATAAAACTTCAGGTAAGGTGAGCGGTTTAGAAGAGAACAGAAGAGAGATGTGATAATGACTGAGAAGACTGTACTGAATGCGGTGGTCAGGGATGGCCTTTCTGCAGAGTGGAGACCTGAAGAATAGGAGGCAGAACTTTCCAAAGGGGTTAGAGCAAGAGCAGAGGTGTGAGTAGTATCACAAGAGGTCAGGGGGTGGGCAGGACTGAGACCAAGAGGGCCTTCTGGGCCCCAGAAAGTATGACTGGATTCAAAGTGTAGGGAGATTATAGACTCTAAGGCTTTCTGCAGTGGACTGGCAGTTTTGGTTTTCAGTCTGCAAAGGATCACTGTGCCTCCTCTAGAGAATGAACTGGAAAAGGGTTAAGACTGGAAGCTGGCTTCTGCAGTCTTCCAGGTGAGAAATGGTTCTGGTTTGGCAGAAATGACAACAGTGGAGACAGAGAGGAAGATTTAGCATCTTTTGTTGGGTTATATCTACTGCATTTGTGACGGGTGGACATGACGATAAGGAAAGGACCCTGAGAGCGGCAACTATCCACCCATAAAAGAACCCTAATTGGCCAAGTTGGAAATGTGTCAACAGACCTGCCAGGGGCTGAAGGAATGTGAGATGCCTAGCTGGAGAGAAGGCAATGGGGGCTGGATGATGTGGCCAAGAGCACATGCCCTGGAGCAGAACGGTCCCAGGTTCTGTACCCTAGCTTTGCAAGTCACTGATTCTGTGCCCATTTCTCACCTTCAAGACAGTTACCAGTTTCAGAGGACTATGGTGAGGAGATCATTTAATTTGACTGAATTTAATACAACATCTAGTACACAGCAGACCCTAGAAATGGACTTTAAAAATTAGTCTGGGGGCGCCTGGGTGGCTCAGTTGGCTGGGTGTCCAACTCTGGATTTCAGCTCAGGTCATGATCTCAGGGTTGTGAGATCAAGCCTGTGTCAGGCTCCGCTCTGGGCATGGAGGCTGCTTAGAATTCTTTCTCTCCCTCTAACCCTCCCTTACCTTCTTAAAAAAAAAAAAAGGTCTGAAGCCCTTGCGTGTAAATGAAAGCAAGGCCCTACTTTGTAAATGATATGAGGGGCTCCAAGTCCGGTGAGCGGAATATAAGATATAAGAAAGAGCTTCCTTAAAAATGGACATCACACTCATTGGGCAGCAGATTACCCAGAATGGGACAAACAGTGGCTAGGGCTGCTGTAAGTCCCTGCTACAGCTGTCAGATCCTTCTCATTAAAGCCCGTTCTCTCACCAAGATTTAACACTCCAAGACCCAGGAAGAGAACACGCCAAAAATGCATGCCTTCCCATTTCTTTCCTATGGTACTGGAGCAGGTTGGAGAGGGAGGTGGGAGCCAAACCCCCTGGGCTCTAGTCTGAGTGCCAGCACTCAGCCACCCTTTTCCCTCAGTAATGCTGTGGGGACAAAATTTTGTCTGGTTAGTTCATGCGGTTGTGGAGTGTTGGATGAGATGACGTAACAGGTAAGTCAAATTACCTGGAAACTCCAAAGTGTTTTTTTTTTCTTTAATTTTTAATTTATTTATTTATGATAGTCACAGAGAGAGAGAGAGAGAGGCAGAGACACAGGCAGAGGGAGAAGCAGGCTCCATGCACCGGGAGCCCGACGTGGGATTCGATCCCGGGTCTCCAGGATCGCGCCCTGGGCCAAAGGCAGGCACCAAACCGCTGCGCCACCCAAGGATCCCTCCAAAGTGTTTTAGAGTGTTACATGTTTACTTCACCAAATGTACTGCTCTGTACTTCACTGGGGCCTTTTGGAATTAAACAGAGGATTCCTGATTTCATATTTTGTATTTCGGTTTTATCAAAGTACTGTAGCTACAATCCAGGTGAGAGACAAGGGGAAGGAGAAAGAGAATGTGGTAGAGTGAAAAGTATGGTTTGAAAGTTACCATGAAGGGGAAAATCATAAACATCAAAATTAACCTTGGGACACCCTGAACAGAGTAATAGGTTGTACTGGACCAACCATCACCGGAGCAGAGTGCTCCAGCTGAGCACTAAGTATCACAAGGCAGTTCTCTTGAACACAGGGCCCATGTTGTATAAAAGGCAGCTGGCTACAATCAGCACAAGATACTTACACAGTGAGACATACAGGAACAAGATCAACTTCACAGACTACAGGTTCTCATATCCCATCATCAGCTCTCTGGGAACACCCATGAATGGAATGGAAGACTACTTAACCTCCACTGCCTATATGGGTAAAGTTCCATACGCCAAGTGTGTAGAGGAGGCCACTCTAGTGAATGCAAATTTAAAATTAGGCCCAGCCAGGGCTTATTCTTCTGGCACTCAGGTTTCTGGTTAACAGTCAGGGAAGACTGTAGGATGCTGGGTGAGAGGAAGGACCTGCCAACCAAGGGCTTGAGGTTCTGCAATCCTGGCCAAGGCAGGAGGAAGTCACCTGTCACAGCACTGGCATCTTGAGGGATTCTCATAGGCTCCTCCCAGTACCATGCTCTAGGATCTATGCAGAATTCATGCACTGCAGAACCACAGGAGGTAGCAAGGTGTTGCAGCAAAGTGTTGAAAGCACTGATCATTAAAAAAAAAAACAAAAAAAAAAAACAAAAAAAACAAAACCACCACCACCAACAAAAAATGAAGGCCAGGCCTTTACAGGAACTTGAACTCAAAGACTTCAGGGCTGTTTCCTGGCAACAAGGGGCACAGATTAATCAAGTGGCTTCTTCTAAACCTAACGAAGGCCTCAAGGTCCCTGAACAACCTGAAAGACTTCTCATGGTTAGAAAGCAGAGGCCTGAACATTCATTTTTATTTAACCCAATTAAGGCCCTTCTGCTTCCACTCTCAGCACTCTGTACTCCTTCACTGCATAGAGGCACAGGTCAGATCCTGTCAATCCTCTCTTTTTCTTAAAGTAGGCTCCCTGCCCAATGTGGGGCTCAAACTCGCAGCCCTGAGTTTGAATGTCACATGCTCTAACAACTGAGTCAGCCAGGCACCCTGTCATTAAGACTCATCCATTCAATGAATATTTACCTAATGCTACTTCATATTGGCCACTTTGAGGGCTTCCCTTCACACTTAATAAAACCTAAAGCATATCTGCCCAACTTATTTCCTTAACAAGCCTCTTGTGCACACTAAGGCCTTTTACCTGTTCTTTCAACAGACCGGGCTTGGTCCTGCCACAAGACCTTTGCACTCATTGTCTCTACCTCTCTTGCCTATGATATACACTGCAGGGTTGGCTCCTTCCATCATTTACATCAGTTCAAATGCCATCGTCTCAGAGAAGCCTTCCCTGATACTACTTTTATCACTCTGTATCACATCACACAATTTCCTTCATAGCACTGCTATCTGAAATTGGCTTAATTATTTAGTCCTTGAATAGCTTTCCTCCTGACTAGAATGTAAGCTCCTCAAGGACAGGGGCTATGTCTATCTTGTCCACTATTCACAGTGGGACATAACAGGCCCTCAGTAAACGTGTGTTGAATAAACAAAGGAGTTTTCGGAAGCCCACTATTTAGAGCACTTTAAAGCCTGTTCTATGCTATCTACACCATGCCAAGTGCTTTTGACACTAGACAGGAGTTGACGATGTTTTATCTGACTGCATTAGCATTCATGAAGCACTCATCAATTGGCAGGGCGTCAAGAAGTTAGAATTAAGTAGCTGTTAAACCAGATTGTAGGTAGCCAATCTCAAGTGACTGCAAACTGGGCTGAGCTGCAATATGATGACCATAATGCTGGCTGCCACAGTTACACTGTAGCCCCCACTTCACAGCAACCTGACAGGTGTGGTGAGAAGTTTCTCACAGCAGTCTGGCCTGACTCAGCCTCTCTCTTCTGTGGCAGTATCTTAAAAAAAAAAAAAGTTGACTCAGCACTATTCCAGCTAAAAATCAAAATCTAGGAAAAGGGGATCCCTGGGTGGCGCAGCGATTTGGCGCCTGCCTTTGGCCCAGGGCGCGATCCTGGAGACCCGGGATCGAATCCCACGTCGGGCTCCCAGTGCATGGAGCCTGCTTCTCCCTCTG